GGCCGCAGGCGGCGGCGGCGGCGGCGAGTTCGTCGACGAGCTCGACCCGGAGGACCTCGAGCAGGGTAACCGGCGCCGAGAGCTCTGCACCACCGACGACGGTCTGCGTGGCGTCTGCAAGAAGGAGCGACGCTGCCCCGATGACCGACTGGCACTGAGCTCTTCCGTCACGTACTGCCCGGGCGGCGGCGGCGGCGGCGGCCGGGGCCGGGGCCGGGGTCGCGGCCGGGGCCGCGGCCGGCGCAGGAAGGTCTGCTGCCCCAGGCGGCGACAAGGTATCGTCGGCCCGGCATTAAGCCTTGTGGCGGCCTTGGAGGAGGGGGTGAAGTTCTGGGAAAAAAGAAACATAAGCGTGCTGTGTTTTTTGGGAGGAGGGAGTGGGGGGAGGAGGGGGGGGGGGGCAGGCCCAGACAGGCACGAGGACAATGCAAGCTTGCGGTCACATGGGCCCATCTTCCACCGATGGCTATTACCTTTTATTTGTACGACATTCTTGGTTTTACACTGCCTGCTTATTGACTATGCGTGAAGTTTAGGTATATATATATATATATATATATTATATATTATATATATATATGTGTGTGTGTGTGTGTGTGTGGTGTGTGTGTGTGGGTGTGGGTGTGTGTGTGTGTGTGGTGTGTGTTGTGTGGGTGTGTGTGTGTGGTGTGTGTGTGTGGGTGTGTGGTGTGTGTGTGGGTGTGGGTGTGTGTGTGTTGTGTGTGTGTTGTGGGTGTGTGTGTGTGTGTGTGGGTGTGTGTGGGGTTGTGTGTGTGTGTTGTGTGTGTGTGTGGGTGTGTTGTGTTGTGTGTGGTGTGGGGTGTGTGTGTGGTGTGTGTGTGGGTGTGTGTGTGTGTGTGTGTGTGGTGTGGTGTGTGTGTGTGTGTGTGTGTGTGGTGTGTGTGTGTGTGTGTGTGGTGTGTGTGTGTGTGTGGTGTGTGTGTGTGGTGTGTGGTGTGTGGTGTGTGGGTGTGTTGTGTGTGGTGTGTGTGTGTGTGTGTGTGTGTGTGTGTGTGTGTGTGTTTCGTCTGTGCGTGTTTTTAATGTATATCTTAATCTCTTGTGCATGTTCCTTCTTCATATGACTCGTCTCCAACAACAGTCTTGCTGACTTCGGTCATTCGGCAGAGGTGATGATGTAAAATTTGTAATTTGTAAATTGCTGTAATTTACTTCTGGTTGTATTAATTGCTGTCAATTTGTTAATTTAATGTCATGATGTAAAATTTATGAATGTATACATATATGATCATCAGTGGTGGGCGGCAGGACCCTTACCAAAAGTTTATAACTGTGTGGTTCCCTCAGAATTCACTTCTGCCCTTGTTTCGATAAAGGCATGTTGCCGAAATATGAACCCATCTACCTCTCCCATTCTCCTGTTTCTTCTCCGAAGAATAAGGCTATTACTACCGTCTTATCCTGAGCCCAGGCATACTCGGCGCGGAATTAAAAAGGTTAACATATCAGCCATCCAGAAGTGGACAGTTTCCAAGATCACACATTCTATTAGGGGTGTTGCCGTGCCGCTCACCTTCAAAAACGTGTAGTTGCGACGTTTGGGCGCGGCCGTCCATAAGAAGGGCTTGAATGTAAGTAAAGAGTCTAAATTGTTGGCGCCCCATTGGACAAATAATTTTGTATTAAACAAATCAGATTTACGGGGAAAATCGCCCATGGAACCTGGTGATGTACATTGTTTTCCGTTCCACAACTGAAGCTAAGTGCAAGTGTAGTGTAAGTGTAAGTGTCTGGAATCTACGTCAATAGATACAACATGTTCAGGGATACCCATTCGGGAAAAAGCGAACTGACATGATGTCAGGGCGGTAATGGCGGAAGGCGCCGAAAACCTGGGAAGCGGAAAACAACTCTGGCGGAGGTTTCAATGCCGGGCAGTGGAGAGGCGGCACAACTCGGGGCGGCCGGAGGTTTGTCAATCCGGGCAGTGGAGGTAACCAAGTGTGCTGCATCCCAGTAGTCGGTGGCGGCGGTGGAGTGGCTTCCCGCCAGCCACTACCAAACCCACAACTACAACTACAACTACAACGACGACGACTACCACTACCACCCAGAAGCCAACAGTTCCCTCCACGCCCGAGCGTCTGACAGGTAACCTATGGCTCTACACCGCAGTTTGATATCCAGGCTCAGACCAGGTCTGCGTCTTTTGTGCCGCTGCTCTCTTTTGTTCCAAATGCGGACTGATTGTGCGGAGCAAATTGGCGGTAAAATGATTCATCGCACATAGCACAGGGATAATGGATCTTTTTCCTTGCAGTGAACTATATGACATTCGAAAACATGCGTGGTAATGAAAGATGTGATGTGCTATAAGGCAAGGTGGCAAAAATAGTATGTCTTGGTAATGCCGGAAAGATCAATGCAGATACCGATGCACATAGACATTATTTAGCTTTAAATCGAACGCCTACAACTATGGCCAGAATATCTAGTTCACTGTTCAGAACACTAAGGGTGGGGACCCCCGATCGATTTAGGATGCCTTTCCGTTTGGGATGATTGCCAACTGCTCCTTTCAGTCAACATGCAAACTCAATTGGTGAGTTGTTCATACTGCTGCTTGTCGGCATCTAATTTCCCTTTGTGTTCTCTAACCTGTGGTTGCTAATGATTAAACCATTCCTTAGTTTGTCTGGGACGCTGTCTATAGCTTATGACGGGTGATGGTAGCCATGCTCTCGCAGGCTTGTAATGGCTAAACATCAGACATTTTGTCTAGTCATTCCCGTACATAAGCTGCTAGCTGTGCCCTCTCACAGTTTCAACGGCGCACTCGACTAAACGTTGGCACCAAAGAACGTGAGGAACGAGTCACGGCACTCCCTGCAAAGAGTTGAAATTTTATGTCTTAACGGTGAAAAAGTACACCTACCAGCAATGTGACATGTGACGAGCAAAAAGACGTAAGATGTTTAACGGGATCAGTGTGAGGCACGTGCACATACCATAAAATAATATTGAAATCAGTCATAGCTGAAGTCAGCAATTACTGCTCATTTAACCATCCAAGGTCCGCTGCATTTGTCACGTTAATCCGTACTTCGCACCGTTCACACAAACGGGCCAAAGGGAGCTGACCTCAGCTGGTCATGTTCTTATTTGCTTTTGTCTTGTCTCCAATGACCTTACCCAACTAAGCGGAGCTTATTGCCGGGTGGACTGAAAGAGTCAGCGCAATTTTGGGGTGACTCCTTAGGTTTGAAATCCAACGTTTAAAACTTTGGGCTTAAGGTGACCGCATGGGTGACTCCTAGCGTTTGAATTAGAACACATTAAGCTGTAAACATGGCGGGTTGCAACAGCTTTAATGTTTGAAGTGACCGCTTGAAAGGTTATTCCTAGAAAAGTTCAGGTTAGGCGCTTTTGCACCTTGAAAATGCAGCAAGGTTTCATTGATAGCTTATGCTCCGTACCAGGCGGCTATTACTCAAAGAAAGCACATAGCATGGAGAAAAAGGCTACTTTTCAACTACTGCCTGGTTTGCCTAGGAGGCAAGTTAGTTGACTATGATACTTAAAACTTTAGCGCATAGTCGACGAACATCCACAGAAATTTTACCGTTGACGAGTATTTGATGGGCATATTGCCTTGGATAAGACAGAAAGCGCAGCATTTATTGATTTTGCGAACACTATGCCACTGGTTTTCGCAGCATTCAGTGCTGATTTATAGATTTTCAAACCATGTTTTTATCGATTTCCAACACAATAGTAATCTAAATAATCTATTAATCTAATTATTAATCTAATTAGTAAAATGAATAAAGTAAAAAACAAAGTTGAATTAAAAATCAAATAGTAATAATCAGATAATCATTCTTGTTTTTACGTTGGCATAGTTAGTCACTGAAAAAGACCAAAGCTTAAATCTTGTGACATACTATCTAGGTCATTTACTTACATGATGAATAGCAATATGCCGATTAGAGGCCCCTGATGGATGCACCAATTAATACTTATTATTAGATAACGTTTTACTAATTTTTGCTTTCTGAGTCCTTTTTGCAAACAATCTCTTATTAGCTCTACACATTTGCCCCTTTTCCCCATGTTTCCCCCTAGCTGTGCGAAGAGTGTGCGATGACTTATGCTATCATAAGCTTTTTGGTGGATAAATGTGCAAATATCTGCAATCGGCGTGCCCGAAAATCCCAATAAGCAGTTGCGCAATATTTGTTTGAAAAGCCTCTTTTATGTCTATTATGACCTCGAAACCGGATGAACATCACATTGCTGGCAGATGTACAATTATTTACTGTTTATGCACGGCCAGTCACCTTTCTTCACTTGGCTGATTGGATATAGCCAGAAATATCGTCCTCGTTAGAGCAGGGGTAGGGGGCGAATCGCCAACATTTTGTAAAGAAACTTGTCAGAAAATTTAAAAGTTTTTCTTTTTTTCTTTCCAAACATCGGTAAAACTGGTGCCCCCCAATGACATCCATGATGCAAATGCAAATACAAGTACAAATAGTGACGAAGCCAATGCACCCAGTAGGCAGCGTAAATGGCGAGTCTCCTTGGCACAGACCAGCATGCTATCGAGCTTTAGTAATGCATGTTACCCTGCAACTTTAACCGATGCATGCTGGTCTGTGGTGCTAGTACTGCACGTTACTCCGCGACTGTAACGATGTATGTATGCTAGTCTGTTGAACAGATACTATGTCTGGCCACGACTGTGACAGCTTTGTTGAAGTATGGTCCGACCCCCAATTCCATCCGAAGTTACCTGAGATTACTTGATGTCATCCAGCGTTGCTATACAGGGTGTTGCATTCTTACATCGTGGCATGACCGGACGTTTTTAAGAGTGTGTTGCACCTGGTGTTAGTAACACCAGATGATATTTCTCGATGCGTGCTGCCATCATGACGCCCCCACAAGTATGGTTTGCAGGACGTGACATACACGCCCTGTGATATCGATCATGTTTCGATAAGATGTCATGGTTTCTCTCGGCGCTAACACTGCTTTGACCGCGTGTTTTAATAGCATCGGGTGCAACAAACCAGAATAGCCGTAATGCAACGCACACCCACCTTGCCACGCAGCCACCCAGTGCTAAATTGTCTATACTGCTATGCTAGGGGAGGGGTGGCGTGCCCATACCGCGTTACCCCTGCCGTGGTTTAGAAAGCAGTTGGTGTGCCAAGCGCACGCTGACGGTGGGCGTGTTCGGGCAGAGTGTGGTGTGCCTACTCCGATCCGGATTCCGCCGGCCTGGCAGCGGTCGGTCACGCGGAAGCGCCGCGCCACGCCAGGGCCCTTCATTCCCTTCATCGTCGGCGGGAAGGACGCCGAGATCGGCAAGTGGCCCTGGATCGTGAGTACCTGCGGGGCGGTGTGGGCTCACACCGCAGGGGTCTGGTCTTCCAGTGCCGCCTGGCAGCGTCACTGACCTCGTTTGGCTTTGTTAGGTACGCCAAGTAGGCGCTATGTAACTTGCTACACAATTTGCTATATCTTTATTCGGCTGATGCAACTTTTAGGTGGTGCTGCTTTGTTTTTAAGCGAACGATAGAACTGCTGCCCAGTGTCTTAAACTCCCTTCGAATCTGAAGCCACGAATTGGTGCATTCAAATTAATGGTGAAATGGCGAAATCATTGGCGCATTTTAGTCGGAGCTCATCACGTGCGTGATATCCCCCACCGGCTGGGATTCCGCTCAAGGAAGATGCCTCAGCTTCTCTGCTGGGGGCGAGTTCGAACGCTGTTGCTCTGGCCGGCAGGCGCTGCTGGGCACACGACAGGACGGTGGCAAGCCGTTCTGGTTCTGCGGCGGCGCCCTGATCGACAGCCAGTACATACTGACGGCGGCGCACTGTCTCCGGCCGCGATCTTTCGACCAGTGAGTGACGTCACACACTGCAGGTGACGTCACCCTCAGCCCACACGGGGCTCTCGCAGCCATCGGCTGCTCATTTGGGCGAAGGGTGGCGTCTTAAAGGTGGGAGGCGCGATGTGGTTTACACAATAAGGCTTGATAGGAGTGGCGTTGCGTCACGTTATAGTGCATTATCCTTCCGCCGGAGGTTTCATCACCGTGCAGGATACCATTCCGTTCAGAGAACTGGTAAGCGTCAGCTGACGTTTGCGGATGTCGAGTCCGGTTGGTGGATCCGTCACCCGACTAGAAGCTGCCTTCTCAGTCTGCGATGATTCGCCTCCGACCCCAAGGAAATCCCGAGGAAATCCCGGGCAGCCATCGAGCTTTTACTTCGGAAAGAGCGGTGCGTGCTGCGCCGAGCGTCACCGGTATCCGCATGTCGTGAGGCGCTGCTCACTGCGACGGCTCTGACCGCTGCCAGGAGCAAGCTGGTGGTGCGCCTGGGCGAGTACGACACCACCGACGACAACGACGGCGCCAACCCGCAGGACTTCACCGTGGAGCGGGTCACCAATCATGCCAACTTCAAGGTCAGCCCGCCCCCCCCCCCCCGGGTGTCAAAGCGCCTCAGCGATGGCTGACCCGTGAAGAGCGCGATGACGTCATGGGTGACACGATACCACCCTCGGGCCGAACGCCACAACGCACTTCAAACGTTAGTGCTCGCGAGCATAGCCTCGCCCAAGTTACAGGGTGCTTCGAGCCTTGCACAGGATGGCCGCGCGCCGACAGCTGTGGCGATGTGGTGCTGACGACGCCTGTCCGTGCAGTTCCCGCAGCTGCACGACGACATCGCGCTGGTGAAGCTCTCCAGTCCGGTGCCGTACAGTGACCTGATCAAGCCGATTTGCCTGCCGCCCGGCTCCAGCGGCGACTACGCCGGCTCCCGGATAGACGTGGCTGGCTGGGGCTACACAGAGTTCGGTAAGGCCGGCCGCCGCCGCCCACGTGCGGCCGGCTGGGGCTTTAGAGGTTGCGGTGTGGCGACGGCGCCCCATGCACAGCATGTGGTCTCCTCAGGGGCTCCTTTCTGACGCCTCGTTTGAGGTTTAGCATCGACGCCTCCCTCTGGTACTGGATGATTTGTATTCCACGGTGTCATTGAAACTGGGGAATTGACCACGAGGGAAGCATCACTTTGCATGGATTTCGTCACCGAATTAATTGGGTGGTAAGGTGGATCCGTTGAACTGCATACGTACATACATACTGTTGCATTAAAAGCTGTGATAGACGCCAGATTAATCCCTATTTGGCTCAGTCGGATAAGGATTTTTGCACGGTATGCGTATTCGAACCTCCTGGTTGTAATGGCAAATAAGTTAAAATTATTCGTCTAAGAGCACGAGATGAACGATGCCATAACATGTCACGTCGTGCGACAGAGGCGCGCGCGCCGCGACGCCTATGCTCACCGTTTTTGTCGAGTGAAAGCGTCGACAGTGCAATGCTGTGTGCTAGATATACACCAGCGTCACCTGTCGGCCATCGACAGTCGTGCTGTGTGCTGGCTGTACGTCAGCGTCATCTGTCGGCCATCGACAGTCGTGCTGTGTGCTGGATGTACGTCAGCGTCACCTGTCAGCCATCGACAGTCGTGCTGTGTGCCAGATGCACACCAGCGTCCTTTCGACTTTTCGTCCTTACGTCCACCAGCATCCTTCGTACAACCAGCGTCCTTTCGCCCAGCGTTTTTCGACCTTTTCGGCGGTCGACCCTGACGTACTCTGCGTCTCCCCCGTATCCAGCCTTGGCCAGTCGCCAAAGTGTTCCTTCCGTTCCGGCAGGTGGCGATGCCAGCAACGTGCTGCAGGAGGTTAGCCTGCCTGTGGTGGGCATCAACGAGTGCCAGTCCAAGTACGAGTCGGCGTCGAGCTTCCAGAGACAGTTCCCAGGCGGCTTCGGCGACACCAAGCTGTGTGCCGCCGAGAAGGACGGCGGCAAGGACGCGTGCCAGGTCAGTGCAGGATCACGTCTGGTCACCTCAGGCCATCAGTTCAAGATCACGCCTGTTTAGTTCCGGTCGTCAGTTCAGGTTCACATTTGTTCACCTCTGGTCATCAGCTCAGGGTCACGTCCGTTCACCTCTGGCCATTAGTGCACTGTCACGTCCGTTCACCTCTGGCCATTAGTTCAGGGTCACGTCCGTTCACCTCTGGCCATCAGTACAGTGTCACATTCAGTCTTCTATGACTAGATGAGGAATATGTTCCCTGCCGAGCCGTTATAGATTGACGCATAGCCACTACGGCTAACTGACGTACATATGACCGGCTAGATCAGTGCATACTCACACTGGTCACCTCTGTCTAACTGGACTGACTGGTTCTAAGCCGCGTCTATGTTACAGCTGTAAGTCGCTTGAATGTCAGTCACCGCCTGTTAAATGGTAGCGTATTCTATACGACAGAGCAGATTCAACGCATAAGACTGTCATTGTAAGCATCTTCACACATCAGTGCACCATGCCCTGAAGCCAATCCTATATGCCGGGAATAACATACTTGTGGAAACATTTCTGCGTAACATCTTTTTGAAAAACGTAGCATACAATTCGACGCATCACAAGTTACATTGTCGATCTCCATAAAATAACACTGACCATGGCTTACTTCTGCCACCTATATACCATGTGGAAAGTGTGTGTTTCTGCTGTCGTCCGCAGGGCGACTCTGGCGGACCGATGGTGCTTACGGGTGCCGACGGCAAGTATCAGCTGATTGGCGTCGTGTCGGCCGGAGTGGGCTGCGGCACTCCCGGCTTCCCCGGAGTGTACACTCGCGTCAGTGCCTATCTGGACTGGATACAGCAGAACAAGTTCTGATGCGTCTTTGAAGACACAGAGACGTCCGACAAAGCGTGCCTTCAGGCCCCAACTATGAGCCTGTTCATCGTGATTCGATATTGTCTGTATGAAAATTGTAGCAAACCCTTAGACGCGCGGAGTGCCTTGAGAAGAAACCATTCCAGGCGAAAAAGGTGAAGACGGTCAGCTGCATTGTTACCGCAGCTGTTTACATCAGTACTATTTTGAACAATTTCTCACTAACTGTTGCTATAAAGCTGCCCATAATTCGCATATACCTGATGCACACGGGCATGGTTAGAATTGATGCAGTGGATTGTCTGTCTCTAGATCAAGACGATTAAAGCGGTCCGTCTGCTCTAGCAATGTGCGTGAGTGAGGAAATATTCTGGGCTGATGACGTTGAGTTAGTGATCCTTGTTGAAGCGATCTTTAAAAAGGGAAGACATGCTGACCAGCTTGTCACACTTGGTGCCTTCTCTCAATGCCAGTGCTGAGCGAGTCCACCCAGCTATGGGAGCGGTGAGCATTGATCGTCGCAATTCGTTCCACACTTTCTCGAAGAGCCAGACGAGAACCGTGGAGCTAAGTGAGTGTGCCGTTTTTTCTCAGCCTAAACCTTTTACAGCACTCGTGACATTTTTATTTCGGCTGACAATATTTGGATCAGTGGCGTTGATCTTGAACCGGACTGCAATAAACCTTTTACTTGAAAGTATATGAATTACACGTGTTTTCAAGAGAACAGGCGCGAACCAAACATTTATGATGCTTAGCAACGCCATTGCTTCTTTCTTTAAAGGAACAACATAATGGAGCAATGCAAAACGATGAAGCTCCTATGATGCTGATTACGTCACATCCTAATGAAAGCTGGCTGCTGCGAGGCAGACATGGGAGTCTGCGCCCCAAAATGCCGCTCATGACGCCTCGTCGAGCGCTGTCGATCGACATTAACCGAGAGGGCTGAATGACGCTACATGGCACGTGTTGCGTGACGCTTTTAGGATCCGTGCGAACTATTTGGTTAACATGTCGGCAGGAGCATATTTGACGAACTAGCTGCATTTTTGTCTGCAGAGGCGAGCCCAGGGACCTCGCAGCCAGCTTTCCCCGAATTTTTTGGTTCAAAAGCAATTCCTAGCAAAGATCTGGTAAAAATGTTAACAACGTTCCCCGACTTGCTAAAACATTTCTTGTCCCTTCTTAATTACCTGAACAGCATTTCCGCGACCAGGACTTGCACAAAAAACAAGCATGCAAAGAAGAACGATACCGTTGCACAGCTTCTACGCAGGCAATGTTCTGACCCCGTTTGGAGCCATGACCACCGGCCAAAAATGCGAAAAAGTGTCTGAAGTAAGCAACGAAATGCGGCAGAGTAAACACATGCTCGCACTAATAGAAAATGCTTTAAAATGCTTCATGACAGGATATCTCCTAATAATTGCGTCACTTGAAAGCTGAGCAAACTCTCACCACATTTGTGAATGCCTAATGCCAGCTCCTCAGATATTCATAAACTAGAAAAGTGCTCAAAAATTCCATCCTGTACCATTTGCAAAGATCTGTTGAACTGTATGTCAAAGATCTGTTCCACAGGCGTGTGGAATGGTGTCCGATGATATGTGTTTAACCGCGACTGTTTGGGTAGGGTGGGGCCCGCCACCGCTGCCTCCCGAAATCCCTTTATTCAATCAATGCGCTTTCAATAAATCTCAGACGTCTATCCATCCAACACATGGCAATGCTCCTAATTGTGCGCCCTCTGGATTGGAATTCGACCAATCTGTATCGCTGGCCCAGAAGCCGACCCAGATCCGCCTGATCCCTTCGAATCCTGGGCTTTTACGGAAGATTACGCCTTGATGTGCGCGCCGCTGGTGTGTCTCCGTCGACTGCTTCCGTTGTACGCCAGCTGTCGTCGGCCGGCCGCAGCGCCGCGCCGCTGTGCGTAACTCTCGTGATGGCGGGGCCATGGATGAGCAGCCAGCCAAGCTGCTCCGGCCGTCTCAGCGTCACCAGTTGGCCGCTGACCGTCCGTCAGCAGTGGATCGGCGGCCGGGCAGGGTCGGTCCGTCCGTCAGCAGTGGATCGGCGGCCGGGCAGCGCCGGTCCGTCCGTCAGCAGTGGATCGGCGGCCGGGCAGGGTCGGTCCGTCCGTCAGCAGTGGATCCGCGGCCGGGCAGCGCCGGTCCGTCTGTCAACAGCGGATCCGCGGCCGGGCAGCGCCGGTCCGTCCGTCAGCAGCGGATCTGCGGCCGGGCAGCGCTGGTCCGTCCGTGAGCACCGGATCGGCGGCCGAGCAGCGCCGGTCCGTCCGTCAGCAGCGGATCCGCGGCCGGGCAGCGCCGGTCCGTCCGTCAGCAGCGGATCTGCGGCCGGGCAGCGCCGGTTCGTCCGTCAGCAGTGGATCCACGGCCGGGCGGCGCCGGTCCGTCTATCAACAGCGGATCCGTGGCCGGGCAGCGCCGGTCCGTCCGTGAGCACCGGATCGGCGGCCGGGCAGCGCCGGTCCGTCCGTCAGCAGCGGATCCGCGGCCGGGCAGCACCGGTCCGTCTGTCAACAGCGGATCCGCGGTCGGGCAGCGCCGGTCCGTCCGTCAGCAGCGGATCCGCGGCCGGGCAGCGCCGGCCCGTCCGTCAGCAGAGGATCTGTGGCCGGGCAGCGCCGGTCGGCGCCGCAGCGGCCTGCTGCGGTGGGCCGGGGCTCGCTGGCGGCGCAGCGACCGTGCTGGCCGCCCTGGAGCGGGCCCGCCGCCGCCGCCTAATGGAAGTCGACACGCGGACAGCGCAGGGCTGGACTGGCGCCGAGCGCTGCCCAACTGGCGCCGAGCGCTGCTCAACTGACGCCGAGCGCTGCCCAACTGGTGCCGAGCGATGCTCAACTGATGCCAAGCGCTACCCAACTGGTGCCGGACCTCTAGCAGCTTCTGATGCCAAACTATCGGTCCCGTGTGAGTAAGCCTGCGCCAACCACAGTAATCTACGAGGCAGTCCCACGCACCCGCAGTAATATTTGAGTAAACCTTATCCATTTGCACTAGCGTTTCACGTTGAAGACAGCCTCATCCACCCACAGTCTATGTTGGAAACAGCTTTAGCCACCCACAGCAGACCTTGATCCGGTCTTATTCAACGACAATCACTGTTTGAAGCCCCTTTTCTAGTCTTATCAACCCACAGTGATGCTCAAGACAGTCCTACCCAGCACAGTCATGCCTCAGGCGTCCGAGCCATCGATAATGACGCCCAAGACAGTCCCACACACCGACAGTATTGCCCATCTTCGAGACAGCTCTACCCACCCACAGTACTGCCCATCTCTGAAACAGTCCTATCCACACACAGGACTGCCCTTCTCCGGGACAGTCCTACCTGCCCACAGTACTGCCCGTCTCCGGGACAGTCCCACCCTGCCCACAGTACTGCCAGTTCCTTCCGGGACAGTCCTACCTACCCCACAAGTACTGCCCGTCCTCCGGGACATTCCTACCTCCACATGACTGCCCGTCCTCCGGGACGTCAGATAGATGACAGAGAGATGGTTGTAACTTACAGTCTCGTATGTGCCATCATTACATACCATGGGTAAACTCTTTTCACGAGTTGGTGTCTTTAGCCAACGGTTTGGAACTCAAAAACCCCATGTCCCCCCCAAATGAACAGAACACCTACGCCGCTGCCCGTAAGAGAAGACCAGCCACACTCGCCTGGACCAGCCCGAACACTTCACAAGGTACCGTCTGAGGCTCATCCCGCCTATAGCAGCCTCGATACCGCGGGGTCCTGCCCGCTTGCCCGTGTTATAGCCCACCCGTGGGTCAAACCTCCGCTTGACCGACCAGGCGCATGGCTTAGTTGGCCTCAGCCTGGTCATCGCTGGGCCCCCCTGCACCCGGCGTTCGACGGTAGTCACCGGCGCGAGGTCGCTCCGCTGTGGCGTGTGCTGAGCACGCAGCCGCAGCGGCTCGAGCCCCGCGGCTGACGAGAGAGGGCCGTACCTTGGCCTCCCTCCGTTGGGGATTAGGAGGCATGCAAGCTATTACGGTAATGCGGTGGGGAGGTGGCCGAGAAACTCCTGACCGCGGCTGGTCGGCATTCGTTGATCGTGCCAGCGGCGCACCTGCTGGGCGCGCAGAGGATTCTGATGCTGCGAGCCAGGTGGGGCCTCGCATGCGGGACGTGGATGCATGCGGGCTACATCGCGTGTCATAGCTTTCTTTCAGATGCAGACAATGGCACATGACTAAGCCTGCGGTACAGGACTAATCTCTGCCATATTTATCCGTGATTTGTGCACGAGTATAGAAATGCTGACTTCAGTCTGACGACATGTCGGCGGATCAGTCATGTAACCGGGAGTGCGGACACAGAATCGCTTGAGGGCGTATTACAGCCGCATTTTCTTTTTTATCTCATGCGGCTCCCAACTGAAAGTGAAAATTGGCACGATACCTTTACCAAGCCCCCCCCCCATCTCAAGGAAATCCTGGCAGGGCCTCTACATGTAGCGCCATGGCCGCGTGATGCCACTCAGCGAGGAGCATTCAGAAGGCACCAAAGCGTTCACAAAGCACGCCACGTGGTAGATCAGCGCGTGTTCGTCGCACCAGTTCAAGCCCTTTTAATCCGGAAAGCAAAAGATGGATACGAGAATCGCATGATGTTATCTTGCAGCTCAGATAAGATAAAAGACTCGCCCAGTTTCCATAAGATGAGCGCCGCTATCCAGGATACCTACGTAGTGAAGACCTTCAACGCTCGGCTCGATATGAGGATCATTTGCTCCTTGGTGATACTTCAGCGCAGTCGGAACATCAGCAAGGACATCTGAACACCGCACAGTGAGGAGAGAGGAGCATCTCACCACTGCGCAGTGAGAACATAGGGAGCAGCATCTCACCACCGCACAGCGAGGACAATGAAGCGTCTCATCACTACACAGTGAGGACAGAGGGATGTCCCACCACCACACAGTGAGGACAGTGAAGCGTCTCATCACTACACAGTGAGGACAGGGGGACGTCCCACCACCACACAGTGAGGACAAAGAAGCGTTTCACCAACGCACAACGAGAACAGTGGGGTGGTTCACCTCCACGCGGCGAGAACATAGGAAGAAGGATCTCACCACTACGCAGCGTGGAAAGTGGGGCGTCCGACCACCGCACAGCGAGGACGGTGGGGCGTCTCGCCATCGCACAGCGAATGCCAATGAGTGGCAAAAATGTGTTCACTGCTACAGGGGACATACGATACACGCTCGTCTCTCCTTTTGCAAGGACGGGTAGGGACTGCTGCACTCCCAGCTGGTTCGCGTCCAATAATTCCCAGTCCGCCTGTCACTTGTCATACAAACGAAGTAAACGCATGCATATTAGTGGTGGGCAATGACGTACAAAGCGCGTGATTGTTTTCGCTGATTCGTTTTGATGATGTGTCGGATAGCCCGAGGATGTGATCAAACCGCAAGGGCTGAGGAACCGCGACAAAAGCGGCGGCGATGACGAATGAAAAAGCCGCACTTTGTGAGGTGGAGCATGGCGTTAAATATCACCACATGGCATAAGCCAACCGCTGGAATAAGTGAGTTGGTCTCAGAGGTAAACAGATGTATAACATGGCAAAACTGATGAATGGCTGGCAAAGACGCAGGCGAGGGCGCCCCCCCCCCCCCCCACCCATACTATTGTTCTTCTTGAAATCCCCTGT